AGAATACAGTACCAAATTGTGACAGCTCAGTAGTGTAGATGCACCCCAATCGACTCCTTTCCCCCACTCTCATGAAACTGAATGTTGTCCTGTTTAAGTGACAGCGGCAAGGAAGGAGACCGATTTGAACTTTAAAAGGCATGTGCTGATTTAGGGGTACAGATTGCAAAATTAGAAATCTTTTTTTTTTTAATTTAAAGAGGATTGTGTCCCATGGAGAAGACCTTGTCTCATAGGTTGGCTGCTGAGCCTGGTCTCTGGGTGGCGCACATCAGCGTCCTGATCACACTCCTTGTGAGGACCGCCACCTGGCTGGCACATGGCCACCCTGCTTGAAACAGGTGGGGCCCCGTGTTAGCCATGAGGACCCATCAGCCACTCCTTTTCCACACTTCCTACAGGCTGGTGGCAAGTGGATTGTGAACGACTCTAGAGCGGGTTCTACTGGCTCGCTGGGCAGAAACATCATTTCTAGAGCAGAAGGTTATGGGTTCTCATCCTGCTGCAGGGCAGAGAAACGCTGCGGTGAATGCTTTGCATGAGAAATCTCCTAGTGCAAAAAAAGCCATCTAGAATCACATAGCAAGTGATTAGAAGCCCTTTCTCCGGAGAACCTGGGGAGCAGCTGCAAGATGGGAAGTGCAAAGTGATCTTCCCCAAGCCTGATCCTGGTACACCCAGCCGTTGGCTGCACATACATGGGCATTTGTAGCTCAGTAGTTGAGGTCCTGCTTTGTATGTAGACGCAACCAAGTTCAATCGCTTCCACTTCCAGTGCCAAGAAACAGAAAGCAAAGATTTCCCTCTGGAACTATAGAAAACCTGGGGAGGTTTGCTGTCTGTTGCAGTCAACTTGACGAGGTATCATTGCTATTTAATAAGATCCTGGAATGGTGCAGGCAGTCATGGGCTAAACAGATCAACAGCCCAACCTAGAGTTAAATCTTTCCCCTAGAACGTCCGACATGCAAAATTTGACTACGATGGTGTGGGCACTGATAAATTCCTGGTAAGGCTGCCGCTAACACCCCTCCCCAAAGTTTCCTCGAAAATGGAACAAATCCCATCGATTCTGGACCAGCCCGAACCCACATGTTCTGTGCAACCTTTTTGCTTGATTTGCCTGCTGAAGGGCCTGAGCCTTTGATTTCATTGTGGCCATGAAAAACATCTCATTAACCTTTATGCCGAGCAAGATAACTCCTACCTCGGCTCGTTATTCCTATAAAACATTAACATCAATATCAGATTAACCCCTGTTGCCATTCGTCAGGGAGGTAAAAAATAAAAGCAGGAATAGGAACAGGAACAGAAAATGGGGGAAGGTCCTTTTTAGGACTCCCCAAAAAGTGGGGAGGTAAAAAAAACTGGGGTGACGAATAGGTTTCCCCCACCCGGTGGGATTCTTGGAGACTTACCTGTCTTGCCAACCCCGCTCCCCCCCAAGACGACAAGCTTGATGACCTTGTTGGGAGCGCAGTCCAGGATGGGATATTCTGGGATGGGAACCAGGAGGAAATTGGTGGAGTACTGGGACATAGTATTCCAAGAGCTGAAGCGCATGCCAGGGGAGCGAACCCAAGGACGTCGGCTGGGGAGCTTATGGCAGAGAAGGAGGACCAGGTGGAAAGAAGGTCTGCCTTGCTTCTGGTCCGGTTTTTCTCCTGCCTCCTCACCGCTGGCCGGCCGGAGATCTCATTGAAGCCGCATGGTGGAGGAACAACACAGAGAGCAGCCGGCCAACGATTCTGCACAGGCAGGCCGAGGGAAACACTTTTTGATCAGCTCCAGTGAAAACTGACTCCAGCATTCCACAGCCAATCAGAAGTCAAAACATGACATTCCACCAGTTGGGACATAAAGTCCGGGCCTCACAGAAACTGCACCCATTGTCTGCCTTTTTTTTCTTTAATTTTCGCCCCTCCTTGCTCGCTCCCGGTCTTGTGGGCTGCCCTTTGGAGAGGCCAGAAGGAGATGAGATCAGGAGTCACGTTTAGGAGGGGGAGAGAAGATGATGTTTCTCTTGCATGTCGGCGTACTCATGTGCTTCAACGGATGCGGTGCACAATTTTATTTAAGACTTTAAATGCAAAGAAATCTCAAGTGAGCTGGGGCAGAGGCACCCAGTGGCATCTGCAAGCTTTTATCCATCCATTGCTGCAAGGCAATCATCGGAATAAGGATCGGCAACTAGGAGACACGGGGCCCAGCCTGACCCCATTTACAAGAATGTCTCGTGGCTGCTAAATCAGGAATGTGCGGGGCAAGTGGCAGATGGAGAGCAAAGATGCCTATAGGCGGTCCACCTCCCTTTACCCAAACCTTGGGTTTCTGGATGTTCTTGGACTACAACTCCCAGAAATCCTGGCCAGCACAGTTAGTGGTGAAGGTTTCTGGGAGTTGTAGTCCAAGAACATCTGGGGAACCCAAGACTGGCAACTATTGGGGAATCTCCAGTAATACAGTCGCTGACCAAAGATATGGTGACTCTACACAAGGGGGCAAAGTCCCGATGGACAACAGCTACCAAGATTGCTCACTGCTGACTGAGCTGCTCAGGCTGATGGGAGTTGTGGGCCTCCAGCATCTGCACTAAGCCCAGTCTTGGTCAACCCTACAGCGGCTGAAATCCAGAAGGGAAATTTATGCTACATGAAATAGATGGTATCATCAGCCAATGGAAGTTTTCATAAACTAAAAACTTCTTCTCTCTCCCTGCCCCCCAACAACCCCAAGGCTCCTTTGAGATCCGTTTTGTCCTGGGGGTCTTTAATTTCTGAAAATCTCAACCACTGGTAAAATTATCCCACATTCTACAACTGGAAGCACCCATCTAAACAACTTACACATTTGTGAGAGGATGGTGCTCTCTCTCCCTTGAGACTGCTCTGGAAGATCAGATACTGAGCATTTGTGAGAGGATGGTGCTCTCTCTCTCTCTCTCTTGAGACTGCTCTGGAAGATCAGATACTGAAATGTTGCTGTCACATTCTTGGTTTCAGTTGCTGGGCTAGAGTTTTTCTTAGCACCCTCTGATATATCTGGGGCTTGAAAAAGTTCCTTTCTGTTCTACAGCTCCCAGATTCTGGGGATTGTCATCCACAAAGTAACTTTTCCAGAATGTACCATGTTTCCCCCAAAATAAGACAGGGTCTCATTAATTTTTGCTCCAAAAAACGCATTAGGGCTTATTTTCAGGGGATGTTTTATTTTACAATCATGTCGTCTTCTGGTTGCTGCACAAGGGTGGAGAGAGGGGTTTCACTTAACTAGGGCTTATTTTTGGGGTAGGGCTTATATTTCGAGCATCCTGAAAAATCCTACTAGGGCTTATTTTCAGGTTAGGTCTTATTTTGGGGGAAACAGGGTACCAGGATCCTAGATCTGTACTGAATGATGTCTATGACACTAACGAAATGCCAATTTTCCAGTGAGATGGTTGTCACCTTCAAAGGAGCAGACATGACTCTTTTGTATGGGCTCTAATTTATTTACTTGCTCCTTATTTCCTGCTCAATTAGCAAAGATGCACCAATTTGCTCATAACTTCCTTAGCCCTGGCAAAAGGCTTGAGGGCAGTGTTTCAGTTCACACCAAAAGCAGCGAGTTGATCAGCGAAAGCTTTAGTAGGTCCCCAACCTTGGGCCTCCAGATGTTCTTGGACTACAACTCCCAGACGCCTTCGCCACTCGCTGTGCTGGACAGGATTTCTGGGAGTTGCAGTCCAAGAACATCTGGGGACCCAAGTTTTGGAGGACCTCTTCTGGAGCTGTAGCTCAGAAAGTAACTTTTCCAAGCTCTGCCAGACCGTGATGAGAAACAGCACAAGGCCGTTTAAAGCGTGGGAAAACTCTTGCATGGAACTGGGTTCTGGTTTAATTATTAAAAGGAGGACCTCTTCTGGAGCTGGAGCTCAGAAAGTAACTTTTCCCAGCTCTGCCAGACTGTGATGAGAAACAACACAAGGCCGTTTAAAGCGTGGGAAAACTCTTGCATGGAACTGGGTTCTGGTTTAATTATTAAAAGATGCAGTTTTGTGATTAACGTTCAACGATGGCCGTCTCAAAAAGTTCTCAAACGTCTTCATGGAAGCCAAACAGAAAAAGCACCTTGGGTTCCTGGTGCGCTTGATCGCCAATGAAAATAACCAATGAAGAAATAATTATAAAATTAGGCTATCCCGCAGTAGGGATATAAGAAGAGAAGAGTCTCTGGGGGGAAAAGCAAGAATGCTAGGAAGAGCGGGGAAGGCAGTAGGGAAAGAGGAAATGTGAGAGGGAACGACACAATAATACAAGGCCCGGCCTTGCAAGACCTGAGCGAGGGCTGCTCATCGCAGGGCCTGCCGGGAGTCATTCCTTCATACGGTCGTCGCAAATCGGACATGAAACCGTAACAGACTCCAATGTTTTGTCTCAATATTTATCTCCATGTTGCCCAACGCCTCAACATTTGCCACCAAGTCCCACGCTTTGGGTCTTCTTGAGGAAGTGGACCTGATCCACT